TGGCTGTCCGCAACGACGAGGAGCTCAACAAACTGCTTGGCGGAGTTACCATCGCTCAGGGCGGTGTTCTTCCTAACATCCAGGCTGTGTTGCTGCCCAAGAAAACAGAGAAACCAGCAAAGAAGTAAAACTGCAGGCTCTCTAAAACAAACCAACGGCTCTTTTAAGAGCCACTCAAATCTCACTAATGAGCGGGATTTACCGTTATAATATATTCACATTTATTCTATGGGCCATCAGATGGGTACTAGAAATATTGAGATGGAGGTGTGCAGGTTATAAAATGTCAACTCAATCTAAGAACGTCAGCATACACCCCTTACATAACTTCCAATAAGATTTGAATAAAGAACAAGAACAACGTTCTTTTGTAGCAAAGCACTACATACATAAATACAGGTTTGTTAAATACATGCCTCATTTTCAATGGGCGTTTGAGAAAGGAAAAATGTGTAATAATGTCCTATTGATTTCCTTAGGTGTTTTTATGAATATATATTTTTTTGCAAATTGTAGTGAAGGAGATGCTGTTATATATTATTTTACAAGAGTTGAAGTCGTTTCACTTCTAATTGTTCAATTAAAAAGAATCTCAACATGTGGAAACGTAATTTACAAGACAACGTACATTCCAAACACCTAATGAAAATGACGTATAAAGTTGGAACTAATCTACACTCCCTACATGAACTGAGTATATTTACTAAAACTGACGAGACATCTAACATATTAAGTGATTGGAAACTCCATATGAGCTAAAAGCTTTTATATGAACTGCAGCTGCTTTATAGATCAGTTATTACCATTCGGTTGGATCCTATATCAGCTGGAATTTATTCTTTATTCATCAAGCGTCTCTCAATATTCAAACTTATATCTTAAAAGCAGAAATGTGGTTACAAGCTTAGAGGCGGGAAAAAGAGGGTTGCTTGTCCTCACTTAGGTCCGTAGGGTGTACCTATATGCAGCTCCTCAGCGATCTAGCACTATTCTCTGTCAGACAGACAAAGACAACATGAGCGGCCGAGGCAAAGGAGGAAAAGGACTTGGAAAAGGAGGCGCTAAGCGTCATCGCAAAGTCCTCCGTGATAACATCCAGGGCATTACCAAACCCGCTATCCGCCGTTTGGCCCGCCGTGGTGGAGTCAAGCGCATNTCTTCCTAACATCCAGGCTGTGTTGCTGCCCAAGAAAACCGAGAAACCAGCAAAGAAGTAAAACTGCAGGCTCTCTAAAACAAACCAACGGCTCTTTTAAGAGCCACCCACATTTCTTAAGATGATTCTTGCTGTTCAATATTATTAGAAACTATTTTTAAACTCGGCACCGACTTTTCAGAATAGAAAACCCCTGTATTGTCGCATAATGGGGAAATTCTATTGCAGCAGAAATATTATATAGTTTTTTTTTTTAATATATATGATAGAAGTATAGCAGGATTTAGATTATCTTTCCCATTTTATTGCTTTTATCTCAACATAAGAAATGTCAATACAAAGTCACATCTGTTCGTTCGTGACTGTATGCTCTTTGAAAATAAATTATAATTGTCGATCTTAAGGTTAAACCCCTTTATCCACACTTTTAATAAATTTTATTTGAAAATCTTCAGACTATTATTACTGGCATGCTGTATTTTTTCTTTACTTATTTCAAGTAAATGTACTGCTCTTTTATTCTATTATAGGTCCCTTTTTTTCTACCTCCATAAGCTAGCGGCAACGGCTAACCTCCATGTTATTGCTAGTTCATTTCACTGTAGTAAGCTGTATTCAACAGAATCTCCTTTTCTATACACTGCTTACATAATGACAAAGTCTAATGAACATAGGTTTTCAGCTTTGGCACTAGAGTTAGAGTTGTAAATTTAGTCGGTTTACTGAATTGAGTTGTAGGTTTACATCCATAAATGATAAATTCTCATTAAATTACAATTTTGTTTTTATTATTGTGGCAGGATTGGTCCTCCATATGCTTTTTCTGTCCACTGTATTTGTCATTTTACCTCTGTCTTAGATAATTAGATTTTGTTGAGTCAGATCCTGTAGGAAGATGTAGCCAACTAAGCCTGATGCATTAATCCATTCATAAAATAAATATTTTATTGCTGTACCTTGTTGTCTAGTAACCACAAACAGGCAAAGGAGTTGGAAGGCAACCAGACTTTCTCTCAGTCGTTGAAGATTTTTATTTATTAGTCTTATATTTAACATAGAGGTTCATTTCAATGCAGATGTTCTTTGTTCTTCTTGATTGTAAGAGCTGTCTGTTGTGCATGGGCTGTTTATGAACATTTTTATTCCTTGATGACAGAGGCAGGGGGCTAATAGATAAAAACAGAAATGCTCAGATCGTTTCTTACTGTGATGCTACAACAGGAGCA